GGTAAATTTATTGTTTTTTTTTTTATAAAATTTTTTGTTTTGATGTTCAAATTGCAATTGCCAATTGGTTGGTGTAGTTTATGGATGTTTTATTATTGCCTCTATTTTGATTATTGCATAGTTGCTCACCTAAAAGACTTAATTACTTCTGTAATAAGAAAAAAAAATTCAATCTACAAATTGCTTTGGGTTTAGGCATAAATCCGTATAAAACCTTTTTCTGATTTTTGTGGAATCTGCTGATTTTTGGGATGCATTCTATTTTCTTTGGAATCTACCGATTCTTGGCTGCATTCAACTAATTAAACTCAAACATTCGCGAGCTCTGTGAAAGGGAGGACCTTCAATGGCTGACCGAGAAAACCGAATAATTCCAATGGAAAATGAAGCACCTCGCAAACGGCCCAATCAATTCGCAGAAGGTAAATTGAAGGCAAATAAGAAGCGTGTCGTGCTAGGTGATCTCACCAACACCTTATCCACTGTGTCCGGGTCGAGCCCGAATTCGGATATGGGGAAAACATGGGTTTGCGGCCCAGAATCCGTTTCCAAGAGGATGGGAAATGGAAACAATTTGGGCTTGGAGGCTTATGAAGGAATGTGACAAGCCGCAAAAAGTTGGGTATGCTGCTTCGATATTTCAACATATGCACTCTTTGGAGGTATCTTATTTTGCCTTTGTCTGTTTATTTGCCTACGACTTCTTAATTACATCTTTTGTCATTGTATTTATGTAACCTGTATATAAATAAGCATATTATGTATGTGGATGGATATGTTTTTCTGGTCATTTTGCTGTCGTTTATTAGTGTAGAAGATATAAAGTTTTTTATATAATAGGTGATGAATTTCATTGGTAATTTATCATGAAATTTAACATATTTGTGTTGGTTTTCCTGTATTTTTTATTTTATTGAGCGCACTTGAATTTCTATAAAGTATGTAACACATGTGGGAAGAGTATTGTTGTTAGCCTGTGCTTTTGTTATTTTAAATCAGACATAGATCTTATTTGTTTTGCTATAGAGCCAACAGTTGACTCCATAGTGGAGCCAACCTTCTATATACATCAAATAAACTTACCATATTCTCTGATTACTTAAAAAACACTATTAATATGGTAGGTTTATTTGATGTATATAGAAGGTTGGCTCCACTATGGAGCCAACTGTTGGCTCCATAGCAAAATCGTAGATCTTATTATTAGCCTATGATGCAAGATCTTGATGTACAAATCCAGGAGCTTAAATTTCTATCACTCTGTATTTGGGATTTGAAAATGTTCGTGGAAGGTCATTTTACTTTCAACTTCAACAATTCCAATGTATTTAGCTACTTAGGCCACACTGTAAAGATAAAAAAAGATTAGTGATAAATAGGCGACTAAGAGGTAGTTTGGAGTATTTCCGACTCTTTTCATATTTATTGGAAATATTGTGCTAGCTAGTTATTGGCTAAGTTTTTGCTTCAATGACAATACTTTTTATGTTGTGTCTTTTGATCATTGGTTTGTATCGTAGTTATTCAGGATTACTCAGGTAAAATATTTCAAGGAAAAAAAAAACTAAATGTATTCCTCAAAATTTCATTTCAAATGTTTTCATGTGATTTACAATCACGTACAAGGTTGATCTTAGTCAATAGCTGCAGTTTGTAATAGGTTTTGATTTTTGTTAAATATNAATGTAAAACCATTTTTCTGGTGTTCCTTTTTTTTTTTTCTTTTCTTCAGATGTGGATTCTTTGCAACGACTGCAATGATACTACAGAAGTTTATTTCCACATAATTGGTCAGAAATGCAGTCATTGCGGATCGTATAATACTCGGACTATTGCTCCTCCTGTTCTTCCTTAATGAGCAGCTAATATTTTATGCATCTAATTAAGTAAAAAAATTAATTTATTTTTTTTATATTAAATAAACATATTTTACACTTATGCATATATATATATATAATATATATATATCACCATATTATTTCTATTTATTTAAGATATACATTTTTGTACCTATGTAATAGTAAATGATATCGATATTTTTATAAGATATAAGTAAAAAAATTCAACAAAGATTGACATTTTCATTTAATGTACGTGTGTTTAATTATTATGATTAGAAAAATATAATTTGACAATTTAATTAAAACCCAAAGTAATGTTTTATATAAAATTAAATTATTTTAGTTTTTAAAAGAATAAAAAATTTTACAAAAGTTTTCTAGTTCAACACCCGTGTAATACACGGGTATTGTACTAGTACATATGATTCAAAAACATTATTTTCAGTAAATTGAAGCAAGAAAAAATATTCAATTTCTCCTAAAAAACAACTATATAAATGCCTAATTTACAAGGTACCGAGTTCGAGATTCATATGCACAAAAAGACAATTCAAGAGCCCAAAAGGATAAAAAGAATAACACAGAGCTCACATATAAAAGTGATAATTTTTGGGATGATAATAACAATAGGAGAAGAAAAATAAAACATAACAAATTGCAAATATTAAAATAAGAAAAAGAAGTTGTGTTAAAGACAAATGGGATTAATATATTCTTTAAGATTATCTAACTATGAACGTTCAACAGATCCATATTACATTTGATGTGAACAAATTTAGCCGTCAAGAAAAGCAAACCTGAAAAAGATAGCCACGAGAATCGCGTTTACGCAATACTAGTACAGTACCCGTGCGATGCACGGGGCTTTATTATTTCCGTCATTTTTAAAAGGCAATTTTGTATTTAAATTTAAATTATATAATAAAGCACTGATCATTGATTATAATTAAACCTAACAAATACTTATTATAAGATACGTGTAATTATTTATATTAATTATGTTGGGCTTGTACAATAGGAATGTTTTTGAAAAATGTGAGTTTCAAAAAGTTCATATCGGTCCAATTTACAATGTTAGCTTTGAAAGTTCATATTGGCCCAAAAGAAAAAAAAAAAAATCCAATGATCCATATTAGTCAACGCAAATCGACGGTTTAGATTACACTGAACATAGTATAAATAGTGAAATTATCGGACCAAAGGCTTCATTTCTTCCTTCATATTTCGCTGCTTCCAGTTTCTTTATTCGTCTTTTTTCATCGATCTTGCTTTCCGTTCTAACACTGAGGATCTTATAAATACATATTCTTTTTTAGTTTTCATTTAATCGATGCTTTAAATTAGTTTTAAGTGTTTTGCACGAAACAAAATATGGATTGTTTAATTTGAGGGTTTTCATTTTCAATTTTTGTAGTTTTATGTTTGAATTTTTTGGTTTTTTCAATTAATCAAAAGAATCCTTCGAATCTGAGTGTGCGCCGGTAGATTTTGTTAATTTTAGTTGTTTAGACCGAAAAAGAAATGTGGAGTTTTTAATTTTAAGATTTTTATGTTCGATTTTTGTACTTTTATGTTTGGATTTTTTGGATGTTTACATTAGTCAAAAGAACTCTTAGAATTTGAGTGTGTGTCGATAGATTTGTTATTTTTTTATCGGCAAAATCATGTTATTACACAAAATTTTTTGGCATCCAAATGATTTTTTTCTTTTAAAACTCATCTCGGCTACACAAATCTGACAATTAATTATGTGTTATCATTGATTTTGATGAATTTTACACAATTATTATGGGTTAAGAACTTGCAAGTTTTTTTGCCCAAATAATGAATGTTAATATCAATTAATTTTAAAAAGGATTGGTATTGAAATAAAACTCAAATTTTTAAAAGCATTATTTGTACCAAAATTGAGCAATTTGGTTATCAAAACTAACTATCCGTGATTGATAAAAACAAAACTTGTCTGAAATGGTATGCAATTAATATTGCCAGATTTTTTTGCTTACTAATTTTGATAAATAGTAATTCTTATTATATATATATATAGATATCACACTGTGGAGTTGATGTGAGCCGGGGCCTAAGGGGAAGGTTTTCCATAATTCACTTGAAATTTGCACTTATTACGAATATCCGAAGAAAAGATTGCACGCTTTAGACCACATTTAAACATAATGCTTATTGACATAAATAATTGATAAATTAAGGAAAAAAGAATAGATTGTCTCTTTTACATATAGGAGTCAATTTGGTAAATTAAATTAGAAATGTAAATAGAAATGGTTCCAACTTAAATGAAATAGTTACAGATAATTCTGTTTCGGAAAGTAACATTGGAAAGCAAAAATAAAAAAAATTAGAGGAATAAACTCATGCAATAAAATTATAAGTTAAATACTTTTTTTGGATTGTAAGTTGATATACGATGAAGTAAAAACAATATACAAAAATATTTCTTTACAAATTATTTTAAATATATTATCTTTAATGAATTTTTAAATATACAAAAAGATTTATTTCCATAATATTTAAAATACATGAGTGGTACAGTGTTTAATGTATTAGATGCACTTATGAAAGAGTACATGTCTAATACCTTTGTTATTTGTTTCAGTTGGATTAAATATTAGGTAAGATTGATGTGTTTGTTAAAGATACAAAAAATTGTGAGAGGAATGATAAAGCTCTGTAATTTTTAAAACAATAAGCATTTGTGGCAGTAAAGCAAAATTGCTAATTGATAATCACAATTTTCTACTATAGGCAATCCCATTTTTATATTTAAGTGTTTGGCACTGCTATGCTCAAGCTGATGATATACTTGTATTTTGGCATATATAATGTTTTATGCACTTGTATGTTTGAGCTCTGTTCTGGAACTCTTTGTATTATTGAAGTTCAATAAACATCTTTGACCAATAAGCTTATAACACAATAAACACAACATCTTGCTTGAATTATTGAAGTTCAATAAGCAATTAAAATGTGAATCAAATCTTTGACCAATAACACCATTTAGAACTAAAGATAATATAATCCATAAATATGCAGTATTGTAGAACAACTAAATATGCAGATAACGATAGCAAATAATTAGTGTATAGACGGCATTTATATAGATGAGCAGTTTCTATTGCATTTTCTACGCCAATCAAAAACTCATTTCTCAATCTTCACTTTTGCATTTTTAGCCGTGCAGGACTGCTGGGAATGAGCCACTCCTTCAATAATAACCTCATCGTTAAAATCAATAGCAAGGCGCTTCCTTGAAATTGGCGTAAGATCAGAAGACTTTGCATTATCACCAACAGACGATACAGTACTCTACATGAATGACAATAAAATCATGCTTAAATTTTTTAAAAATAAAGCTTTTGATTTTAAGTTTCAAATAATTCGTAAAATATTTTATTATTATTTATATTTAAATTCATAGCTTGTATTTCATATTATATAATGAGCTTGATAGATAAGTTTTGTTTAATTAGAAATAATTTATTATTTTAATTAATTTATATTATAGCTTGTCTTTGTATTCTCTCTTTTCTTTCATTTTTTGTGTGTTTTTTATACTTTGCTTTGTTTTTTTGATTTTAGTCTTTTGTTAACAGACTAGGTCCTTTCGGTAAAGTGGTTTGCTAATTCTGTTGTTTTGCTATCTTTAGGTAGTTTGGTTGTGGAGTTTGGTTCTTATCCTGGGCTAAGAGCCTCTGGCTTTGTCGGGGACGACTACAAACTTCTTTTGCTATTTAGAGCATCTCTAAGAGCACCCACAATGCTTTGGGTTTCTTTTTGTATATGTGGCATATAATTGGACTTATGTCATGAATGACATGGACAAACCTAAGTAAAAAAAACCAAAGAGCTTTCCAATGCAAAAATAAAACACTAGGTCTACAACACATATCAACCAATAACAACATGCATTAATAAATATGTGTATTAATTGCTGATTGTTAGGTTCACACTTGGGTCTAAAATAGACCTAAGAGTGGACTTGGTCTCTTTTTTTCTATTGCCACATAAGTTAGACCAAGTTCATTTTTAATTGCATTGTGAAATACTTTTTAATAAACTAAGTCTATTTCCTACATGACATGTGAATTTTTTGGAAGAGACCCAAAGCATTGTGGTTGCTCTAATGGTATTTAGATTGTCTCATTTTGTTGCCACATGGCACAAAAAAATCTATGTGGCCTAAAAGGTTCTAGAAGTCTTTCTAATTGTAGAAGTATTTCTAAACAACTTCTATTATGTATTATATTATTTATTCATTCTTTTTTCAACTAATTATATTTTTACACATGTCAAATTAAATTATTTTTAACATTAATTATTAGAGACACAATTTCTTACATGAACAAGATACAATCGGAAATTTTCTTAGACAGTGTTTCTTTCTCTGTTTTGCCAGTTGGCCCCCGAACTCTGTATTTTCACTTGATAATTTATCATATCGTTTCAGAAAACAAAAAATAAAAGAAAAAAAATTAACCGGACAGATCCCACATTAGATCCGGACTTGCTGATAATGACGTCGTTTGCCAAAGTCGCGTTCTGTAAAGCAAATAAAGTTATATTTTTAAGTTTTTTCATTATGTGGACAGTGGAATGATTAGTTAATAAATAAATAATAAATTGTAAGAAGTAAGAACTCGACTCCAACTCATCCTCCTCGGCCAAACGTCACACGTGCAGACATGGAAATTCTTGTAGCTTCTACGCCTCCAAGGCTTCCCTTCTTCACTCACATAACCAAGAAAAACTTCAAGCCTACGAAGTCGCTGCAGATTATTAACTGCTCCAGGTTCTAACAACAGTTTTACTCGCCCAATTCACGCTATTCTCTCTCGCTATACAAATGTTATCTTAGGGTGAGTTTAAGCAGCTTTAGTTAGTAACACTTCCAAGATACTCTGTCCGGCATTGTTAATAAATGGTGTTCCAGTAAGTTTCACCAGCTACCTATGAATTGAATCGGTTTCGGGTGTCAAATTTGGTAGCAAAGTTTTAAATTACTTGATTTGTGCTATGCAAGAAAATTACTCGATTCATCGCCTTTTCGAATGTGTCAATATATGGGAGTTAATGGGGTTTTTTGTTGTATATGCTTTGGAAAGGTGGTTTCTGCGTTTTTTTCCTTGTGGATTGTAAAGAGACTGAGCGCATTGCTTTTGGCAGTAGATCAAATTATATTCATCTTTTCATTGTTATTAATTTTTCTAGAATAAATTAAGCAACTCAAGCGTTTGATCTGATGTTTGATTTGGAAAAACTATGGTTCAGGAACGTTGGAGAGAGCAATAGTTTATCTGGAGCTCCTGTCCGGAGGGAGTAAGTGACATCTATATATTTTATACATACAGTGTGCTATGGAGAAATACTTTAATGTGAATCACATAATTACCACATAATTTGTCAACTAATTCAGGTCTAGAAGCCCTAGTGATGTGAAGGTGCATCAGGTACCCTGTTTTTGTTTCCAAATTTTCTCTTTGTTCTTTTGGTTTTTGATGGGGTTTGCGAACAAGGATTTCAGTTTTGACATGTTTTGAGGCTTGAGCAGTTACCTCTCTTTTCTCTTGATACTGCAGGAAGGTTTGAAATCCATTTATACTGAGAAAGAGGAGAAGCATAATGACATCTTGCAACTATTTAATGAAGCTCAAAAAAGTAAGTTTGACCTACTTTTCTGTACATGCATCTGATTGTCTATGTGTTTCATGAAGATTTTTATTTATGGGGTGGTGTGTTGAATTGAATGACTGCCATATAGATATTCTGCACTTAAACAAACAGCGCCTACTGGCAATGGAGGAGCTTGAAAGGATAAAGAAGGAGAGGGATTCAATGCTTGCTCGGTTAGAGCTATTGGAGATGAATACGATTGTTAAAAGAGGTTCTTCACTTGTATTCTTTGAAGTTTCAAAGTTAGTTCTGTAGAGAGCTTGGTCTTCTCCTTGTATTACAATGTTATCAAGTGGCTAGTTCTAATTGACATGATAAACCACAAGTTCTACATGCATTACAGAATACAATGGATAAAGATTGCTAAACTTTTTTCTTAATCTTTTCATAATAAGTTGTTTTTTCAAATAGTTTAGGTGAGCAGTACATATTCATGTAATTTGCAGAAAGCTAGGCCAAATGTTTCAAATGGTTCCCTTACTGTCTTTTATGTTTCAGTAACTTTTTGTTTTTTAGCAGTTTAGATACACACTGCAAACTCTGAACTTTTACCATTCTTCTTGCACTTGAAAATGAACAGATAAACTCACAATGAGCTCAGAGTTGCTTCTTAGAATAGATTCCTTGGTTCTCAATGGCATTATTGGCCATAGAGAGGCATCTGATTTAAGAAGGCTAGTCATGTCTTCAAGGGGATGTTTGGTAGACGATTTGTATGACATTATTTGCAAAAACGATGCTGAATTTTTGGCTGAGTTGCGCCACTTTTCAACGAGAAGTCAACAGTAAGGTTCTCAAGATTTATTGCAACAAGCTCTATGAAGTCCCTAATACTTAGTGTAGTTCTTAAGTCTCATTATCTAATCAATTTTATAATACAATTTTTTCTGGAAGCACTCTAATTTTGCATGTTTGACTGGAATTTGGTTTCTTTCCTTTTCTTTTCTTTTCTTTTTTCTTTTTATGGTAATTTAAATTTTAGTAGATTCTATTAAAGAAGTATAAATATTGAAACAAAAATTTTTCAGTGTGAAGGTTTAATGTTTAAAGCATTTAGTACTGAAAAGAAAAGGAGGAATTGTTTTGTTTTTTTCATATGTCTAGTACCTTAAATCCACTATCATTCATATTCATCTAAATGTACTTGTAAATATTTTATCTCATGTAAGACCACAGCTCTGAGTCGAACTGCTCTTCTGCAGCTAGGTGAAGCTCAGCTTGATATTTTCATACATGGTTCATTTTTATTCTTGATACTTCTTTTCTTTTCCTATTTTTTTTACCAGGATTTGTTTTCACATAATTCACATATGTACGGAAATGTCACCTGTGGTTTCTGTTGGTCCTCTGGCATCATATGTTACCAGCTTATCATGTGCTCTACAGAGAAAAGGAAATCTTGTCGAGGTTATTTTGCCCAAGTAATTATGAAATTACTTGATCATGCATACTTTTTCTTTCCGTTAGCATATAGAATACCCCGCAACAGCTACTGTTGGTTTTAGGGGTTACTGTTATGAAGTTCTTTTACGAACAATTTTTAAGATATCAACCACCATTTTGCCCATATGTTCTATTGTTAACTTTTAAAATAGGTATGCGTGCTCGAAATTAGATGAAGTTCAAGGATTAAAAGAAATTGATGTGGAGCTGTATTCATATTTTAATGGTCAGTTACACGGGAATAAGATTTGGACAGGGTGAGTCTGCCCTAATACTCTGTTGATTTATAATATATATCTCGACTGTGAAAATCCTCGGGATTTTAAGAATCTTGTATTGTCAAAAGATGCAGGTTTCTCATGCACTAGCATTACTTTGTTTCTAACAATGCTTTGTATGCTTGGGTTACAGGGTTGTCCATGGCATTGGAGTTACCTTCATAGAGCCTGTTTCTTATGCATCCCTTTTTAGCCATGACAAAGTGAAAGTGTATGGGTATTCAAATGATTTTGAGAGGTTTGTTAATGTTCCCATTATTTTCTTTCTTCTTCCCTATTCAATAGTTCTTATGGGGTTGGAATTTGATGGGTGTCGAAACCAACAATAATAAATTTCTACTCGTATAAATATAAAATTGTATAACAATGAGTAGGGTCATATCCAGAGATTGGATAAATGAATTGATGCAACTATTTCGTGGAGGAATAATAAATAACTGAAAAGCTGGGGGTTTTGATATGTTCAAACTACCTAAAATAATAAAAATTAAATTCAATTAAAATAAACACGAAGAGGAGAGATTCAAGATTTATTTAGAGTAAATAAAGGAGATAACATATCCAACTAAAGGAAAAATTTGTAGAAATGGTTCAATGATTCGATCGCAAAGATAATTCTCTCATTTAAACTGGTAAACTGGTTATGGTTATTGGTACGACCTAATAACCTATCCTTCCTTGTTCGATAATCAGGATACGATCTCTAATTATTTCTCTAATCAAACATAGGATTTAATCTATCAACAGTATTAAAATTTAGAAGGACCACCAATTTTAGCTAACAAACGCACATGTAGGATTATTTAGACTAGATCATAAATCTCCCTAAACATAAAATCGAAAATCCTTAGTAATTAACTATGTTCTTTTGCCACTAATAATAGAACAATCAAACAATTTTGGATTTAATGTCCTAAATGGCAATATGCTATTATGATAATTGAACAAAGAGCTCTTTTTGCATCAATCAACCAAAATAACAATTGATAATAAACACAAGAGATATACGAATAAAAGAGAATAGAGAATAGAAAATTCAATTAGATCTCACAAATCATGAAGAACCAAATGAAGAATAATCATTTGGCTAGAAAAATAATTTAGCTATCCATAAACATGGTAGTCTTCTCCATAAAATTCATCCTAAAAATAATAAAGACTGTAGAAATAAAATAAATTGTAGAAGAATTTCTTGTGTCGTGCGTTCGTTCAATAGTACCTAATAGTCTGATTTAATTATTAGCTAATCCTAATCCTAGAAGTAATTATCAGCTAATCCTAATCCTAGAAGAAATACGTAGAAAATAATAATCTCTACAAAATATCCTTAAAAAATTAAAATAGTCTAAAAATAAATAAATACTCCACAAAGTCTTTTACTTCTCTTTCAAACTCAAGACTCCTTTCTTTCCAACTCTTGTAGGAAATTAGCGTGCACACGCATTAGCTCAACTTCGTCTCTTTCGCCCTCCAATCATCATAAAATTATGAGATATCCTACAAAAATTATAAAAATCAATTAAAATCAATTATTAAGCTCAAACAAACACCGAAAAAGTATGGAAAACATGACAATTAACATGCCAAGAATACGACTTATCAAATCACCCCACACTTAAATGATGCTTGTCCTCAAGCATCAAGTCAAATTCATCATCCCATCTCATAATGATCTCTATCATTTGTTACCAACCCAAAATTATTTTGCACACATCAGAAACATAGCTTAAGAAAGGATCCTCATTAACGAACATCAATGAATAATCACCTCAACAATCAAATAACTTAAAATAACACGAGATTCGACAACTTCTCACAAGATGCACTCAACGCTCGAACATGTATAGGCTAAATATATTAAGTGTACGCTCAAGTGAAGACAATGAAAACTTTTACCATAAGCTTGCAAATATATTCCAAGATTCAACATGAATACACAAAATCGAATGGTTTAAATGGGTTGTAATGGGGCTTAAGTAATGTGGGATAAAAGCACATATTAGGCTATGAGAATCTCAAACGGAGCTCAATCCCAAAAGAAGTCATTTTGACTTTCTAACTTCACAAAATGTATCTAACATAAGAACAAAATAGCACAATTCTCTTCATTGTCATTCTCTCTAGTTTTTTTTCTCTTTTTTTTTTTGTTTTATGAGTTTTTCTTTTTGAGAGAAGACAAGAACTAGTACACATTAGATAACTATGCTTCAAACAAACTACAATCAAGTTCATGCACACAAGCTCGTCACTAATACCAAAAATTCATATAATTGCTTCGTTCAAAAGATATGAACAAAAAGGATATCATGGCTTGTAACGTGGTTAATCAAAAGAAGAGGCTAAGGCTCAAACTTGACTCACTAGGAGTTAGACTTTCAAGAAAAAGACTAAAATCAAATGGTTAATCCTAATACCCTTATTAAAATATCATGAATCTAATTCATCAAAGGAGTAAACAAAGACGTCATAACAATGCAAGTTCTAGAAAAACTGACTAGCCATAACAACACAATCAAGGAAACGGAGCATTATATTCAATGTATGCTAATAGGCTCAATTCTCACAGAAAACAAGGTAATATGTGCAGAATCACATGCATTCGTCCGTCAATTAACCATCAAGAATAATCAATCACCAAGTAGTTACAAGGACTCCAAAATTATTTTCGCATGGAAATAAAATAATTTTTCACTAATTGACATCAAACGAATCGAGAATAACCACAAGAGACATAATGAAAATAACTCAACACGTAAGAACATAAGCCTCAAAATTTATCACGAGAAATGCAACACAAATTCAACAACTAACCCCACCCCACACTTAATAATAGACATTGTCCTCAATGGCAGAACTAAAATAAACGGATAATAAACAAGAGAAGTGAGGAACTCCCCTGATCACACTGAACATCTGAGTAGAGTCGACATCCTCACTGAGGCGTCGGGTAGGGCGGTTTGAAGCCTACGTGATTGAAATACGCCTCCAAGTTACGCTCCATTCTAGTTAATTGTTGTTGAAAGTCATTAATGGTCGCATCAAAAGTGGCTATAGCATCCTCGATTCAGACATGGAAAGTTTCTCGCCGACCGCTGAACCATTTCTAGATAGAGCTCGGGGTACACGCGCAACGCTGTTCTTGATTTTAGAGGGACCTGGACGACAAAAAACAAGAGAATCTTCCTCTTCCTCTATTAAACCAAAATCTTTCAAAGCATTCAAATTCAAATGTTGCATCTCACACGCCACATACAAATCGTTTTCATCCCAATCAATCAAATTGTTACCAACAGCAAAATGGGTGATCAAAGAACCAAGAATCAAAGGTCTCATAGTTTTCCCTTTCACAACACTATGAAACTGAGTAGCCAACCAATAACCTAGATTAACTCTTATCTTGTTAAGCATAGCCCATAGAAAGAAAAATTCAGTTTTTAACAACACAGCAGAATTTTCTTTCTTTCCAGTTCTTACCTTCCTGAAAATGTGTAAGAGAAAAACCTATGAACATACTTTCAAAATAGGGTCACGCAAATAAGTATCCGTGGACGTGCTAGGATTATAATAATTAATACCGGCAACTCACGATATAAACCAATAGCATCAAAATCATAATAAAAATCACAAGTAATATTCTGATGTTCATCACTCTTGCCAAACTACTCAGTAATAAAACCAAAAGCCACATTAAACTCAATGATAGAAAAATTGAACCATTCCGTAGTCAATCGAAATTTCACAACCCCAGGAGAACTCAAAGTAAAATAAGAGGTTTCTTAGATTCGTACGTGGCATAAAATTTCCGAACAAGCTCGACATACGTAGGACAATTAATTTCAAAGTACGACACTCATCCGATATTATGAATCAACTATCAGTTATTCGCAACGCATCCTTCGTAGGACAATTAGCGAATTTACAAGGGTCAACAGATTGAGAACATAGAACATGATACATGTCTTTCTCAACTCTCTTGGAAAAATTGAGATTACCGTTCAAGTCGGCCTCGGATGGTGGAAGAATTTGCAAGCTCTTGCCAAGTCAGCACGCTTGCGCGTGTCGGGGACCTCTTGACTGCTGTATGATGTAGCGCTTGGATAAGTGATCAAGCGCACACGGTTCGGGTTACGTTTCCCCTTGGCTTGGCTGCCCGTGCTCGTGGTGCGGCCATTGGAAGTTCGTCGGACGATGTTTGGTTGGCTGCAATTAACCATCGGCGGACGGTGGCCGAGCAGAGGACGTGGCCGGCGGAGTGGTGGCTGGACGATGGGAGACGAGCAGAGGACGTCAAACTCGCTGGTTGCTGCAATCTGGCGGCGCTCCTCACGGTTGGTGGACGATGGTCGTCGGGAAGAGGTGGGCCGCGCATTGTGGGCGATGGCAGTGGCTCGCTGGTGGTCCTGGGCAGGAGGGTCGCGCGCGGTTGTCTGAGAAGCAGGAGGTCTCGCGACGTGTGCTCCAAAAGAGACAACAGAGGCTCACACGGTTGTCTTCTAAGGGCAACGATAGCGAATTGCAGCCAACCAACTGTCCGACGAACTGCCAATGGGCCTAGCACGGGTAACGGGAAACGTAATGCGAAACGTGTGCGCTCGATCACTTATCCGGGCGCTGCATCATACAGCAGTCAAAAGGTCCCCAACATGCGCAAGCGTGCTGACTCGGCAAAAGCTTGCAAATTCTTCCACCCTCCGAGGCCGACTTTAACGGTAATCTCATGTTTTCCAAGAAAGTTGAGAAAGACGCATATCGTGTTCTATGTTCTCAATCTATGTCCCTTGTAAATTCGTTGATCGCCTTGCGATGGATGTGTTGCAAATAACTGATAGATGATTGAGAATATTTTGAAATTAACTGTCCTACATATGTCGAGCTTGTTCGGAAATTTTATGCCACATACAAATTTAAGAAACCTCTTGATTTTACTTTGAGTTCTCCTGGGGTTGTGAATTTCGATTGACTGGGGAATGATTCAATTTTTCTATCACTGAGTTCAAGTGGCTTTCGGTTTCATTGCTGAGGAGTTTGGCAACAGTGATGAACATCGGAATATTACTTGTGATTTTCATGATGATTTTGATGCTATTGGTTTATATCGTGAGTTGTCGCCTATTAATTATTATAATCCTAGCACGTCCACGGATACTTATTTCCGTGACCTTATTTTGAAGTATGTTCATAGGTTTTTCACTTATACATTTTCAGGAAGGAAAGAAAATTCTGTTGTGTTAAAAACTGAATTTTTCTTTCTATGGTTAACAAGATAAGAGTTAGTCTAAGTTATTGGTTGACTACTCAGTTTCATAGTGTTGTGAAGGGAAAACCATGAACCTTTGATTCTTGGTTCTTTGATCACCCATTTTGCTGTTCGTTGGTAATAATTCGATTGATTTAGATGATAACGATTTGCATGTGACGTGTGAGATGCAACCTTTGAAATCAAGATTTGCTTTAAAAGGTTTTGGTTTATAGAGGAAGAGGAAGGTTCTCTTGTTTTTTATTGTCCAGGTCCCTCTAAAATCAAGAGCAGCGTTACGCGTGTACCCCGAGCTCTATCTAGAGATGGTTCAGCGGCCGTCGAAGAACTTCCCATGTCTGAATCGAGGATGCTAGCCACTTCTGGTGTGACCATGAATGACTTTCGACAGGAATTAACTATAATGGAGCTTAACTTGGACGCGTATTTCAATCGCGCAGGCTTCAAAATGCCCTACCTGGCACCCTATACCCAGATGTTCAGTGTGATAAGGGGAGTTTCTAATTTCTCTTGTTTATTATTCGTTTATTTTAGCTTGGACATTTGGTTCTGCCATTGAGGACAATGTCTATTATTTAAGTGTGGGGGTGGGGTTACTTGTTGAATTTGTGTTGCATTTCTCGTGCTAAAATTTTGAGGCTTATGTTCTTACGTGTTGAGTTATTTTCATTGTCTCTTGTGGTTATTCTCGATTCGTTTGTTGCCAATTCGTGAAAAATGATTTTATTTGAATGCGAAATGATTTTGGAGTCTTTGTAGCTACTTGGTGATTGATTATTCTTGATGATTAATTGACCGACGAATGTATGTGATCCATCACATATTACCTTGTTTTTGGTGAGAATTGAGTCTATGAATTATCATGCTCCGTTTCTTTGATTGTGTGTTGTCATGACTAGTTGTTTTTTCTAGAATTTGTATTATGCACGTCTTTGTTTACTCATCTGATGAATTTGGATGCATGATGTCTTAATAAGGGTATTAGGATTAAACATTTGTTTTTAGCCTTTTTCTTGGAAGCCTACCCTTTAAATAGACCCTTAGTGAGTTAAGTTTGAGCCTTAGCCTTTTCTTTTGATTAAACACGTTACAAGCCATGATATCCTTTTTGTTCATATCCTAATTTGAACCTTGAATTGTGGCAATTACATGAATTCTTTATATTGGTGATGAGCTTGTGTGCATGGACTTGATTGTAATTTGTTTGAAGCGTAGTTATCTAATGTGTACTAGTTCTTTTTCTCTCTCCAAAAGATTTTT